GCTGATGAATTTCTAATACCTCACGACATCAGCATATTTTCGGTTTCTGAGAAGGCGACAAAGGTAAAGCACGACAGCCGAGTGCTGGAGAATTCCTCAAGGAAGCTTTATAGAAGGAGCTGGCAACGCAGTAAATGATGAAACTGTGAGTTTTCCTTCACAAATCCATCAGTAATAAAAAATTCAAGCACAGGTCGAAGCTCACCTCTTGTTGAGACCGTTGCTTTTCTGCTTTACTGAAAAGGAGAGTGTATGAGGATTTTTTCAAATCAAGGGCGAATAATAGTCCTGTTTGGCTTACTCAAAAACAATCACAGGCGTTCCAGGTTGAGCAGTAGAAGACAAAAAGAGATCTGAAACGAAAAGAAAAAGTAAGAATGATCGTCTCGGCTCGCATTCAGCTTACCCATTATCAGTGTGGGAAATGTGTTGCTACTCATTACTGTAGGAATGTCAGTAGGGCTTGAAATCGTCGTTTGTCGGTTGGTCGCTGAAGCTTCATCAGTGGGGCTAGGAGTAGTCGTTCCTTGGTATGTCGCTTTTGGGACGTCATTGGGACTTGAAGTGGTCGATCTTTGGTGCTCCAAGGTAGAGACATCACTAAGGCTTGGAGTAGTCGATTCCTGGTATATCACTGTAGGGACATCAGTAGAGCTCGTCGATCTTTGGTGTGTCGCTGTTGGGACATCAGTATAGCTTGCAGTTGTCGTTCTTCGGTATGTCTCCCCGTCCTGAATGACATCAATCGCCAAGAGCTACAAGAGCCAATTGATATTAGATTGGCCAGAAAGTTTTCCCCTCCTTTCGAAAACATTTGAAAAATGAATCATTCTGCAACCATTTTCCTATCTAGCATACTCGAAGCCAACTCTTTGGCAATTTGTGAATTTTATCCCTCAGAAGGACGAAAGTCGAAGACAGTAGTAGTGTAGAGTATCCCTACCCCTCTCCCTCCAACTAATCTGTCGTCTCTCAATTGTTTCATACAAGAAACGCAGCTAAAGAAGCAAGTATCGCACAGGGCATGGTCAGGAGAGGTTTAGAAAATTTGTTTCCTCAGGCTTCTTACGTGATGTCGCGCCAACGTTTGACCATCCCCATCGCTTTCCGAGTTCAAGAAGTCCTATCAGAGTATGGGATCATGGATGACATTTTCGAGTCCCAGATCCCGTCCTCCTGGAGCGAAGGAATCCACAAGCTGCCAGAGTTTTCGGTAAGTAAGGTGAGTAGACAGGGATGATGCAACCTCAAATTAGTTGGGTATACCCCTTACTGAAATATTCGACGGGGCGAACGTTTTGACCAAACTAATTAAAAGAAGGAGATCCGCTTACTACTGTCGGTGGATTGGTCCGACGCTCCACGATTCTGTTTGGCTCTGCAGTTGGCTCCTCATCCACCTTATCATCGACACCTTCCGATGATTTGCCTTGGAGAGTCGGCGTACTCGTATCCATCCTGGTAGGAAGTACCATTAAGATTTCCTTGACAGGCTGATGGAGCGATGAGCAGTAGGGCCGTCACAAATGAACGAGAATCGAAAACCGGTAAGAAAACAAAAAGAACAGTGGAATCTAAGAAAACAGGACCGAGACTTTGAGAGGGGAAAAATTGAGCAGTTCATATTGAATCCACATTTGCATGATTAATATAAATACAGAAATCAAAATAAACGGGAAGCGAAAACAAGGTAAACGGTTACTGCTCTGCTTCCGCTACATATACAGAAAATATTAAAGGAGCACATTCCAAGTCATTAGTGGGCGGGGTTAGTTGCAGCTGTGTCTCTTCTTATTGGTGGACTCCTCCACCAATGCAAAGAGGCACAGCTGCAAGCTGAGAGGTAGAAGGGGCAAAATGGAAAGCCCCGCAATAACTGATCACGCCGTCGTCATGACGTTACAGTTCTGACTGAGTTAACAATGTTATACCTACTCTGACGTGCTTGATTCTGTCGTTTCCAAGAAAGCTACAGTTGTTGCTTTTGGCCCATATTTCAAAAGGCGGTCTGAAATCTCTTGAGTACACGAATGGTTGAAAACAGACAACATCAATATAAGTAGACAACAATATCACCCTAGAAATGCGAAGATGCAAAAAAATCCCTCCCCATATATCCAAAAAACCTACTTTTAATGCCTCTGCCTCTTTTTTTGATCAAGTTTATCCTGAAAATAGAATTGTTATTCTTCTGTAATAACTATGCACATCAGAAGCTGGCACTTACCCTCTTTTCGCTCTTCTTCTATACCTTCGCACTTCTTCCCAAGAAAAATTTGGTTGTGTGTACGGCAGCAGGATGCCATCACCTACCTGAAATATTATGAAGAAAGGTCAAGAATATTTTATAAGATTATATAGCCATTTTGTATTATATGCCAGATAAATATAGGTGTAGATACTGAAAAGCGAAAGAAGGAAAAAAGCGTTCAAGTTCCCATAACACCTCACAACCTAGCCAGCCGCTCCTACCGCACGAACCTCCCAACCATTCGGACCACGGTTTCAAGAGTTCACAATTACATGCTCAAAATTGCTCAAAAGCATAGCGAAATTTGTTCAAATTACAAAACTTAAGTGAAAAAATCTTGTTTCGTCATGGAATTCCAGAGAAACAGAGGAAAAATCAACTGATAAGTCATTTACTCAGCAAACCAGACGAAATTGTTACGATGTTAGGTAAAATAATAGCGCCATTAAAACCTTCGCGGGAAGTCAGTTGAATGAAAAAAATTTTCTCTTAATGAAAAGTACGGGCACGAAGACCAGGGTGAATATTGCTTGAGGATTCCTCAACGGCACGTCGAGGATTTTCGCCTGATCCTTTACGTTCTCCGCGCGGATATTCACTCTCGCCACCCGCGAGCCGTCTGTGCTCTCCGCGCGTACATTCACTCTCGGCACTACTCTCGCACAGCAGAGAGCTATGGTCGAGGAATTCCTCGACCGTTATTCACCCTGGTAAGTTTTGCACAAGTATGCCCCTTACCCTCATTAGTGTAGACTAACGTCGTGTACGTCTAAGAATAACGAAAGTCTACATAAAGGGTTGAAGGCATGATTAAAGCTCTGTCAGGCAGAGTCAGAAACGCATTTTGTGATTTTTCCGACAGAGTCATAATCATGATAGACATGGGAGAAGTGGGACTCCTTGGAAACATGGAAATTTTTTCGTGACATTTGAAGGCTTATGCAGTTTTTTTTTGACTCAGCACTACACAATACCTATTACACCGCCCCTCTCAATGCATTATGCATTGTGTATAGTTTTGGGGGCGGGTTAGAAGTGTGTCAGATGACCCAGGTTAGAGAACTATTTACTACACCCATGGAATCGACGTGAGGAGTGCACGAAATGCCCATTCTGCAAATGACTATGTATTCAACAACGCTCTATTCTGCACTACATACTGCAGCGTACCAAAGTTAGGCCGATGTCATAGTTTGCGAATCGAGCGATTCGCTAGCGAATCGCTGGATCCGAGCGTTGCGCCAGCGAATCGAACGTTGCACCAGCGAATCGAACTATGTACCAGCGAGTCGAACGATGTACCAGCGACTCAATAGTGGCGGGACCCAACGTTCAAAGGAAGCCCGCCACTTTCAAACAGTGTCACGTGACAGTGGACCCTGTTTGAAAGTGGCGGGACTTGACAGTGGACACTGTTTGAAAGTGGCGGGCTTCCTTTGAACGTTGGGTCCCGCCACTATTGAGTCGCTGGTACATAGTTCGACTCGCTGGTGCAACGTTCGATTCGCTGGCGCAACGCTCGGATCCAGCGATTCGCTAGCGAATCGC